GTGTTAAACTCACCATTAAAACTGATGATCATGAGGATGCACTGTTAGCATGCTAGCATTGAGTTCAATCTGGTGCATGCTTAAAAATGTAGACTTTTGACTTTACAACGTAATGAAGAACAACATTACTCCTCTGGCTGTAGTAACCTAGACCCCCAAATCTTCTGTTTATCTGTGGAAATGCCTTGTGCTGCGGAGGAAAGCTCTGATCAGATATGTGGAGAAGCAGCTTATAGAACAGGACTGATACAGAAAATAAACAGATTTCACATTTTTATGCATTGTTTTTCTATTGTTGAGGCTGCTACGTGAGACTCTGCAGCGTAACAGAAATGTATTTGTAGATAATGTCAGGTTTTTTTTTAGTAATCCTTTCAACAACTGACGAGTGATCAGTGATGGATCTTAATACAAGCTATTGTTTCAGTCTAGCGGTGGGGCTCGGAAATGTAGTTTATTTTCTCCAAAGTTATTTATGTGTTTATGATGCAAGCATTAGACAAGCAAAGCCTCCTGCAGAGGTTTTAAAACCAGAGAAAGAAAAGTAAGCAGAGCAGGATGAGGTCAACACGCCCAGGCTTTAAAGGTGTAGTTGGCTGAGAAAACATTTTTATTGATTATTTCTGATCATAATCAGTCACTCAGAGTTTTTCATGCAGGCTGAACATTAAAATAGTCTCCTACACCTATCTCCTGCATTGGCTTCTGATAGAAAACGGACAGTGAAACTCTCGGATTAGAAAATCCTCACAGATCTACGTCACACTGTCACTTAACATTCATGCACTCACCCATCTTGACTCATGACAGTGAAGGCTGTTGTTGTTTTAACGTATGGTGATCTGCAGAGGACATCTCAGCTAGTTTAACTGTTAGCATTAGCAACTTCACCACACGGCAGAAGCTCCTTTTTGCTTGTTTTATTTGTGAAGACAGAAAAATCAATGTTGCAAGAAAGTGGTAGGACTGTGTGGCTGTTATCCCATCCAGTGCGAGATGTCCAAATGTCAGGAAATAAGACTCTGAAGCTCAGCTGTGATGCAGGCAACTTTTAGGTTCGAGAAATGGTGCACCTGTATGCCCCCCCCCCCCCCCCCCACCCACCACCCCTCACCCCCCACCCAAGAATGACTTACAAGGCATTCAATCCTACTAGAGACCACTCCAAATGTATTAATTAAATGAGTAAAGTACTCCCTTAAATCACAGTGATAAACTCTAGGCTTCCTCTAACTAAAGCGGTGAAATGATTGCATTTGTGATGTATCGTAATTCATGTGTATGTAGGGATGGGTACCGTTGACATTTGAATCGATCCGGTACTAATTCCCGGTACCTAGGAATCGATACCGGTACTTAACGGTACCAATTTTCGATATTTTTGAGTGTTTATTATTTTAATTCTCTTTTATAATTAGATATATATTTTTCTCAAAATATAACAATATTTGATAAATATCACGATAAATAACATTCAACTGTTTGTATTTTAACATCGTCCTTGTAGTTTTATAAGCTGATAATTAAACTGAAGCAAAGATCTTTACTGTGAACTAAATTTACTGTGTATCTTCATTCCTTTTGCAGTCTTTTTTCATTTGATTTTTCCTACTGGGAAGTTAGAATTTCCGAGGAGAAAGCGAACGCACCATTAGCTGATAACAACGGTGGCAATGGAAGCTAACATATCAAGCTAACGTTATCTTAAACAGTTTATTTAGCTGCTGGAGCAGATTAAAACGATGATGCCTCACACTTAGATCGTTGCAAAGTGAAGCCAAACTTTAGAGCGCGTTCACGTTCTTCTAGTCGGAAATTCGGAGTTCCGAGGAGAAAGCGAATGCACCATTAGTGAAACGGAAGCTAACAAATCAAGCTAACGTTATCTTAAACATTTTATTTACCTACCGGAGCAGATTAAGATGAGGATGTCTCACTTAGATCGTTGTCGCTGGTTTCATCATCACCCAGTTACCCATCACATTTAGTGAAGTGGACCCAAGCTTTAGCGTGCGTTCTTTCTACCATGCTGCTCTGTTTACAACACGCTCGCAGCGAGCGACGACATAACGCTCTTGCGCATGCGCAGCTGTCCAGGCAAGTTCTCGTTGTGAAGGACGGGTACCAAAACGAGGCACCATTTGAAATGACGTGAATCGGTGCTCAGTCAGTACTATGGAATTCGGTCGGTACCTTAAAAAGTACTGAATTCTGTACCCATCCCTATGTGTATGTGATAGTCTTCCTCACAATATCTGAATGAGGTTGGCTGTGTTTGACTTGCAGGACGCCGACTCACAGGAAGCCAGCCAGTGCTTATTTTCCGCTGTGTTCCAGCTCTGCATCCTGTATGAGGTTCACACGGAACAGGCTGCAGGGCATGCATGTGCGCTTTAGTTCTGATCCAGCAAGTCACTCTGTCGCTCAGCCAGCTCGCTCTCTGAGCTCTGTGCCATCCTTACTCGTCCTGGCATGGCCCAGCAGCAGCTGCCGTGCTCCAGAGGACCATCAGGTGCATTTTCATGCACCCACCATGGACAAGACAAACATTAAAGCTTGCCGCAGTGCTTTTACAATTCATATTCACTGTAAGTTCTTGTTGGGCAAATGGAATATAACTGCATCTTTCTGAATGAATGGGATTGGAATCATTTATATGGCTTGAAAGACAACTTTTTGAAGTTCTTTCACAGCATTTTCAGATACCTCTTTATTTTCTCACCCTACTAATGATACATTTGGTCTTTATGACCACAACTTGGTCAAGGGAATCCACAGAATTCCTCTTTGCATTTAAGTAAAAATCAACATTTTCAAGTGGAAGATGAGATGGTTGGGTTTAGCTTCTGTGTGGAAGATTTTTCCTCCATCACGGCACTGCTGTGTGCACACAACAAGCACTAGCGTTATGTTTTGTGGTCTTCGCAGCAGCCAGCGCATTCTGCTTGCTAGGCATGCATCCTTCTGTGTGAGTAAGCACCCAATTTCCTCACCACATGCTGTTATTGCCTCTCATCCAAAGGGAGATTGGGCTAAGTAACTATCTGCAGACTTGATTTTGTGGTGCTTTATCACATCTGATGAAATTAGAGGGGCCTCCGTCAGGCTGAGGTAGAGAGAGGAGCGGACAGAGAGCACATGCAGGAGAGAGTCTGAGCCCTTTGCTGCTGTGTGATGATGCATCTGTTATGTGTGCCTCAGCGGAGACGTTCTGAAAACAGGCTGTAATGGTCCTCAGACTGTAATGTGTATTATGGAGTCAGGCTATGTCATGCTCATGGTTGCATCAGGTTTTCAGCGCAGTGAGTGATGGCTTCCTGTAGGAGTTGTGTATCGATATACTCACTGATTATCTGGAAGTGTGGTGCCATTATTTAGCCTGTTTGTTTGCAATGAGTGTGGTAGCAAACAATCATTAGATGGACAACTAATTTTCATCTATTTCAACACGGCAACCATAAGAGTTCGAAAAGGGCGACAATTCAGTCAGAAATGTTGATTATATTGCTAAAAGTTGTAGTATTTAAAGCGATGCTTTGCAACTTTCATTCTTTGAAATCATTTTCTTGAGACAGTTTGTGCTAAAATGACCCTTTACAGGGTAATGAAAGGCCATCCAGCCCCCATGCGGCCAGACCATTTCACTTGCAACTTCACTGGTTGGCCGCTCTGTTGGGACTTATAAAACTATTGAGCTGGCATACCTGGCGCTGCAGTGTGGCTTCAGCATGTTTCCTGCGTGTTTTAGATCATGAACAGCTGATTTGTTCAGTTTATTGATTAAACACTTCTGTAGACACTAATGAAGGCTGAGGAGATGTTTCAGCTGTTAGATTAAGGTGTTAAAAAGATCAAAGCGAGGAGATAAGTTTTGGTTTCGGTTCTACAAATGGATACTAGGGGGTGCT